TGTCAGTTCAGCATGGGAAAACCCAAACTGCCAGCACACATGCCCATGTTCAAATGCATGGATATACTACACACACAGTAGTAGTAGAATTACGTGCCCGTTAATATTTGCACTCTCTTCTTTTAATGCCTCCTTCTTTCTTCTTTGCCTTCAATTTCGGTGACTGATGTCCTCCCTCATTCAGGCTAGCGCAAACTTTGTCACCATAGTTATAGCTGCATAGATGTTCTTTTCCCAGGAGACAGACAATATTGAAATAGCAGCTCCCTTGACGACACAGTGCTCTCATGTCTGTCGTGTCTTAGGAGAATTTACAATGTAAGAGGTACTACTAAAACTGTCATGGTCGCAATAATCATGGCATGTGTATCCGATTTGCTAGCTCCTGACCATGAGTCTGTCCTAATCCAGTGGTTCCTCTTAAAAAAACTGAAGACATTAATTTAAATTTAGCATCAGCAGTAGATACCTCGGGACCGACATAACTCTTATGGACCCTCAATAGTTGTACCATTTATAGGTTTGGCATCTTTCTGTCAAATACAAAAGTGGAAACAGAAACTAAAATGCTGTACATTTTATATCTAAAACCAGTTTCTAGATTAAAACTGTAAAACTGTAAAAATCTAAGTGGGGGAAACCAAAAGCAAAATATTCATTCTGAGATTATATGCCGCTTGTAGGGTAACTTTTGTTATACTGTGCAATGCAGGTATATCTTAAACATTTTCACGAATTTTTATGTTAAAATTAGAACTCTTTTATAACTTATTATATATATTTTTAGATAGCCCAACAAAAGTATCCCATAGTTGAGAAGTGGAGGCAGTGCTTTGTAAAACAATTTCTACATGGGGTCACAGATAGTTCTTTAATATTTGTTTCAACCAGCTTTACACAGCATAAGACTGCATTTTATTTCCAAGCTTCTTTATGCACAATAGCTCAAACTTAGTTGACTTGGATAGAGTGCATTTGTGATTTGCATTTTTTTTTTTTTTACATTTTCTATAGAGCTTTATTTGGACACTAGCTAATAAAGTCAAAATAATCTTCTAGTAGTTATTTGGGTCATTCTTAGATATGAATTTAATTGGCTTTATGTTTAGGGCTGTTCTAATCTTGGAAATTAAGCTCTCCCACGTGTGTTAGAGGAAGTGTCCTGGGTGTTTTTCATCCCCCTGCTCTGACAAAGCTGATCTTTCTTAGCATGTAAGGAACCCACTAATGGCCCATTAGTTTAACCCTCTTGTGTAGAACCACAGAACCACACCTAAAAAAAGCAGGACACTGGCTCCTGAGTTCTCATTTTGGACCTCACTGCTCTTACAGGTTTTGGGAATTAAACCTCAATCAAAGTTTTGTCATGATTTGTGTGTAAACAACTTCCAACCAGCTCTCTAAATTCACTCGTAGCTGTGGAAGGTGCCTTGATTGAAGGTGAGGGCTATTTCAAAGAGGACCTTCCCTTTTGGAATTAATTAAATTTTTTCTTTTTCCTAACTTGAAATTTTCTGTCAGCGTGATGAAGATGCATCAAACCAGTGTAATTTACATTTGGAGGAACGCATTTCCTCTGCCATTACGTCGCTGTTGTACCCACTGTCAAATTCCAGCAAGCCTGCACTGATGCTGACTTGCTATTTAAGGGCTGAACGGTCCACTCGCCCTACCCACTATGTGGTTTGGGATGGCACTTAAATTTGGCAGACCTTCCTCGGGAATGCACAAACAGAGGGTTAGTGCTCAGAGTTAGTGCTCAGGGTCAGTACTGAGGGGCCGGTTTGGGATTTGGCCCTAGCTTTTTTGTCCCTTCTGATGACAATCGTCCCACAGCATAAAGGTGGCTGCTGCATGTTTTCAGGAGGGCAATAAGGGTGAAGTGCATGGTTTTCATAAACCATTAAATTGATTTTGTCTTATCTGATCATACAGCCTTCTTTCACATATCGGCACTGTCCCCTACAGGATGGAATTTTGTGAAGTTAAAAAGTGCTCTGTGAATTAATCTCTGAGGTTTGATAGAGCAGCTGTATTTATAGCATATTTAAACTCGCAAACATGGGTATATTAAGGTGATTTCTTGGGGCATTTTTTTGCACTGTGTTTAATTTATTTTTATTTAAGTAAAAGGTGAAGAATGTAAATCATTATTTTTTTGTTTGTGTTAATAGTAACAATAAAAATAATGGACAAATTTCTTGTGCTTTTAAGTATTTACAGTTTTAAATAATACACACTGGAATTTTCCCCTTAAAACATTATATCGTTTTGGAAACTTTATGTGGTTTACACTGTTGTTGTTGCTTGAGGAAAAGACATAGGGTGAAATAGGTCTGGAAATAATGGGATGAACAAAAGCAGAGTTCTGGCAGTATTGGAGAAATAAAAAGAGGAGCATATCTCCTTTGGGAAGAGAAAGGAGGTCATTCAGCAGTTGCCTTTTTGTGGAATATAGAAAGAGAAAAGATTAACAAAAAACAAGAAGCGTGCAGAACTGGTTAAAAAAAACACAATGATCTCAGTTGGAGAGATGGAAAAGTCACAAGGTAAAGCTTAGTACTTGGTTCCTGTTGTCCTAATGGAAAGGTTATCCTGAGTTTAAACATGCAATGTGCAAAGTATTGGCATTTATAATTGGGGAAACATTATTGCATGAGTTATAACCCGTCAGCCAGGTGTGCAGCTGTATCAGCTGTTAAGCTGTTCCCCATTCAACTAGTTCAGATACTGATACTGATTTTCTTTCAGTCAATTTTTTAGTGCAGGATAACTTTTATAATACGTACATTTGGTTCAGTTTGATTTTGTATTGAGTGAAGTTCTTTATTCTAATCAGGTCATACAAGGCTATTATAGTGGAAGTAACAAAATACACATCTGCTTAAACTCAATATGGAGGAAAAAAATAAAATCTTCATCTGATACACCTCTGGTTTGCATAAAACAGTTTTTCTATGACTGACAGCTTGGCCTTGGTTGCAAGGTCTGTCAGAAGAGGTCGGGCTGAAGAGAGTTTAAGCTAGGACGCTTGCCCCTTGTGTCTTAGACAACTGTGGAAGTTTTTTCTTTTTTGGCAGCTGGAAAGTATAAATCCTTTCTTAAAAGGATTCACTTCTAGTTTTAATGGTTGCGATAAAGTAACGGCAAACTGGTACTGGTGAACACAGAAAGGGGATTTTAATTTAAAGGTGTAAATATATAAGATAAAATAAGTATATGTATATATATTCTTTTCTTCCTTCAGGAACCCAAAGTTGCTCCGAGTTGGAAAGTTGAAGAAAAATTACATGCAATTTATTTAAATAATTTGAGAAATAAAAATCTAGAAGATGTACAGTAACATATAGAATGCCAGTCTTCCCCATCTTTTTCTTAGACTGCTGGAGGTAAGACCCAATGTTTTCGGACTGAATTAAAGGTAAAGTGATAGATGGTCTTTTTCCAGGTGGATCATCAAAATAAGTGGTCCTCCTAATTGTCAATCATTCTAGGGATATATTTACGTAAGGCCATCCTACGTGGTCGTCCCCATTTTCACTTACTGGTGTTGAGTCTGACACAGTGGAGAAATTTCTTTTTCTTTTTTCTGAAAGTAAGGCTGTATGAACGATTGAAACAGCAGCTTTAAAGCAGAGCGTGCACGAGGAGAAATGGGCTCATGCATGCTCTTGCACATGTTTAATAGACGTTCTCTATCTCTCTGGAGCGGGTACAGGGTTGTGCATGTGCATTTCTTTTTAAAGTGGAGAGGGCGGGTCTTTTCAAAAATCCATGAAGATCCTCCACAGTACTTTTAACTGAAGCTTTTAAACACTCTTCATTTGGTCCAAAATGTATTGCTCCAGTTTTGTTTTGATTCAGCTGAAAAAAAAGAAACATCCCTTGATTTCTTGTACGCATTTTACCGGCACTTTGATGGGTTATGGTCACGTGGTAACATCATAATGAACAGCTGTGTGTTGTCTGCATAGTTATAGTAACTTATAGCAGATGCATGTAGATACAGTATTGAATAGGAGGGATTTTAAGAAAGACACTTAGGAAATGCCATATAAGATTTTCTTGGTCTCTGATGTAAAGTTACCTTTTGACACATAAAATGCTCTGTCCATCAAGTAGAATTTAAACAAAGCCAGTGCTGTCCCAGAAAGACTGACCCAGTTTTCCAGGTGCTGTAATAAAATGAAGCTTGCTCTGCTCTTAAATGAAATACTCTGGGGACACCACTTCAAGTTTGAATTTTAGACATTATGATGGAGGTTGGAGAGAGTAACACCGCATTAGCTACAGAGGTTTAATATATGTATGGCAAATTTCACAACCACGAAGAGATTAAAGCAGGTTTTATTCCTCAAATATTGTCACAGTCTTTTAAAAATATTTATCTAAATAATAATAAATTATTATTATAAATAAATCCCTCTAATGAAGTCTATGCAAATCTTCAATACGTTCTGCTGTATAAGCTTTCAATTATCATAATTTTTAGAACATAAAAAAATATAAATTTTTTGTGTAGTAGGTAAAACCTCAGGGTGTATAAAAATGAAAAGATAAATCTATTGTTAATCTGTTGAAATGTTACAATAGTAACATTATGTTTTTCTTTAGCAGAAAAAGGGGAAGACTTGGATAAGAAAATACCCAGCCTTATCTTAAGCACTATGCCAATTCTGGAATTTTTATGTTCTATTCAAATGTTTGTTTTATTTTAGTTATAATTAAAAAAATCTTTATAAACCACTTATCCTTTCCACTTCACAAATATATGCTTGTAATGGTTTAGTATATTAAATCCAAATAGCATATAGTTTGTGTATTTAGAGTGGCAAAATGTGAAAGGGTTTAAGCTGTATGAATAACTTTGTACAATACTGTAGAACCAAGGTTATATCGATTCTAAAATCAAGTTTCATTATGTTTTTGATTAAATCCTAAGACTTAAAGACACCTAAATCTCTAAATGAAGAAAGATTATTTGGTCTTTTTGTTTCCAGGTTTTGTTTGCATTGAACCAGACACTGCTGCAGCATGAAGGTGTCCGAGCAGGCAGCCTTCAAGGATCCTACACCACAGAAGATCTCATCACACACTACAACTGTGGGGATCTCAACTCTATAATTTTTAACCATGACACCTCTCAGGTTTGTTTCATCACTCTGTAGCTAAATGATCACAATAAAGGATGGTGTGCTGCTTGTTCTTAGATTCAGTTGTTTTGCAGAGCAACTTAAATCAGTTAAATCCTCTGGGTTTAACTTTTTAAGCTTTGCTACAGAATATATAATAAAACTCCTGTTTAACACAAAAAAGATTATTTATTTTGACAGTATACAGAAAATCTGTTGCCTCATATTATCACTTACTGTAAGTTGTCCAACAACAATATGCTCCAAAAAAACATTTACTCGAAAATAAAAAGTAATGTCAGTTTGAATTTCTTGCCATGAGATTCTGCTAGATTAAAAAGCACTTAAGTGGTAGGACTGAAATGGCGGGTTGACCTGATAACAATTCCTACGGACCCAAAGAAGACTCCACCATAATATATACCATCAGCAAACTTATGCATTAGCTTAATTTTCTGCAGATGCTTGGCAAAACTAATTAAGTTTCATGCTCTGATGCAGTGTTTTCACCATGATAAACAGCATCAAGAATTTTGTTGAAATGTTACATGTCGATGTTTGTCAGCCTGTAAGGGCTTCAATATCAGAAGCCTATTGAGAGAAAAACATGCCATTTATTCATTATTACATGCTTGGGATGATTATTTGTTTTTTATTTTCCTAGCAGAAAATAAACTCTGCAACCTGCATAGACTGGTTTTGTCAGTAGCTTCAATGTAACAATACTTCCTGCTAGATTTAACAGTTATAAATTCAAGTTTTGGATGAATTCTAATTTTCTAATTTGTATAT